GGTAGACATTCTTCCTTTCCATAACTCATAAGGGGTCTTTTCCTATTTCTTTTGGGGCACCTTATTTAAAATGTAATTTGCTGATAACACAGCTTCCCTCCACATGTTCTGAGATAACCCAGAACTTACGAGCATTGCATTCATCATCTCTTTTAAGGTACGATTTTTCCGTTCAGCAACACCATTTTGTTGCGGTGAATAAGGGGCGGTGGTTTCATGTATGATTCCGTGTTGTGTACAGAATTCAGCAAATGGTGCTTCATACTCACCACTTCAATCACTTCGCAGCACTTTAATTTTCTTATTAAGTTGATTCTCAACTTCATTCTTACAGAGAATAGATTTCTCTATAACTTCATCATTGCTTTTAAGCAGATATACATAGCAGTATTTTGTGCTATCGTCAACAAAAGTAATAAAATATTTGTTGCTACCTCTTGTTTGTACAAGTTTTAGATCACACACGTCACTGTGAACTAAATCTAGTGATTCTGTGTTCTGTTTAATTGATTTAAACGATGATCTTGTCAATTTTGTTTCAACACAAGTTTCACACTTATGTTTGGAATCGTTGTTGAACTTAGGTATGCAGTTAAAGTTAACTAGTTTTCGTAAAGTATCACAGTTAACGTGTCCTAATCTACCATGCCACAAATTGGAAGACTCAAGCAAATAAGCAGAAGAACTTGCTTTATTTATTTTTGGTTTCACAACCATTACATTGAGTTTAAACATACCGTCGTAAACATGACATTTTCCGACAAACATTCCACTTTTTGATAGAATGACTTTGTCTGACTCAAAAACAATGCGGAAATCATGTTTATTCAAAAGCAACCTGGACACTAAATTCTTGCGAATTTCCGGCACATAAAGCACATTGTTGAGATTCAGCTCCTTTCCCGAGGACATCTTCAGGACCACTTTTCTTTGACCCTTGATTTCAGAAGTTGCTGAATTTTCCATGAACAACTTCTCCCCGTTCTCAACAGCTTCGAACATATCAAACATTTCTTTATCAAAGTATACATGTCTTGTAGCATCGGTGTCAATCCACCACTCTTTAGGGTTTGAACCCACCATGTTTACTTCAGAAATGACTGCTGCGAGATTCAACTCTAACACATCTTGTGCCATGTAGTCAACCACGTTCGCTTCTTTCTTCTTCTTCGGTAATCTGCACTCCGAAGACTTTTGACCCACTTTGTCACAATTGAAACATTTCCCTTGAAACTTATTCTTGACAATTCTACCTTTCAGTCCTTGCTTGGTTCTTTTACCATCGGATGGCCCAGACTTATTTTTGTAGTTCTTACTATTTTGACCAAGCTCCACAACATTGACTTTGGCTACACTAGGATCGAACCACTTCTTCTCTGAACTCTTGTTTTCTTCTTCGATTCGAAGTTTAACAACGAGTTCTTCGACGTTCATTTCTTTTCATTTGTGTTTCAAATAGTTTTTGAAATCTTTCCACGCGGGGGCCAATTTTTCTATAATTGCAGCCACCTGAAAAGTTTCACTCAACATCATTCATTCGGCATGAATTTCTTGAAGGATCACTTGGAGTTCTTGTACTTGACTGATAACAGTTTTGGAGTCCACCATCTTATAGTCTAGGAATTTGTCGACTATAAACTTTTTAGCCCCAGCATCCTCAGTTTTGTATTTCCGGTCCAAGGACTCTCACAATTCCTTAGCAGTTTTTATGGTGCTATACACATTATACAGCACATCTGCTAGGCTGTTCATTATATAATTTCGGTACAAAAAGTCCGAATGCTTCCAAGCATCAAGTGCACTCAATGCTTGCACATCTCCCTCACCCTCATTAAGTTTTGGAGTAGTTTCGGTCAAGAATCTCGCAAGATTCAAGGTGGTAAAGTAAAAAAGCATTTTCCGCTGCCACCTTTTGAAATTCAAGCCATTGAATTTCTCTGAATTTTCTCCATAATTAATCGGAACAGTTATAGTTTGGCCAGTTTGGCTTACAACATGACTTGGTATTCTACCCACAGTCTGAGCCACAACGGAGTTTGGCCCTTGAGCCACATTAGAACCCACAGCCTGATTTCCAATGAGAACATTTTGGATCACATCCATGTTGTTCGATTCGGTTGCCATTTCTGAAAACAAACCAAATATTAGTTCCAAGAAACCAAAATTCAGTTAAACCAAAAACCAAATCTTGTTTTTCGAATTCAGAAACTGTCTTAAGCTTGTAGGAAAACAAGTCGCTAGTGGATGAAATCAATTGTATAAGTTTTATTCAATTGCAATAGCCGACTATTGAAATTAATAACCACAAGACAAACGATTTCAATTTATCAAAAAAAAAAATTCGTTTCAGAATTTTCCAATGGCTGAAAAAATGTTTAGTAACATAAAATCAGAAATATAAGTTAACTGCAGGCTAAAATTGTAAACGATGAATCTGGAAGCTGCACACTATGAAACTACAAACTGCATGAATTAAATAGTAATGCGAAAATAATCTGCAGAAATAAATGGAAACTGATGCGAAAATAATCTACAGAAATAAATGGAAACTGAAACTGCAAAGAAGCTACACGAACTGCAATGAAATAAATCTGTAGAAAGAAAACACAAACTGCAGCAAATTTCAAACCGAGGCCTATGCGTGCACAATTTCCTTAAGACAGTTTCGCCCTCTTACCGTAGGTGCTGGAGGTTCAGTTCGAGCGACTGTCTCTCAGGATACAACGGTAATAAGCAGAATCCGAGCACCGCGGTCCTACTCCAACGAACTGATCTAGTATCCGAACAATATCACCACAAGAACAAGACCTTACTGGACAAGGAATGTAGAAAAAAGAAGAAGCTGTGTATGCAGGAATGTAGGTGAGATTTTCGAGCGTGTTAGATTGCTGGAGAATAAGCCTTTTTATAGGCATATTGCCCATTAATATTGTGACCATTGAGAGTCCATTGGAGTTACTTCCCATTAACACTATGACCATTGGAAGTCCATTGGAGTTTTTTCAGTTTAGAAACTCAAAAGTCATTGGAGAAGGCAAAAAAAATTGGCAAAACGTGGGCTCTCCGATGGGGCCATTTTTGCTTTGTTCGGTCCGACATTCGTGTGCGCAGGTCGCGCCCGCACCCAAGTTCAAGGTCCGAAGGCCATTTTGGTTCGTGATTTGCACCCCCCTGCGCGCGCACGTGGAGAGAGCCTCTATACTACACATGATTACACATCTTCAAAGCATAGTCATATATAAAGTGGTTTGAGTTTCCTTGATTTTTCTATGTGGGATAAATGCATTTTTTCCCACAAAACCAACTTCCAATGACCAACTTTGAGTTTTAATTTCTCATTCACTCGAGATTCATTTTTGGCAAATAAATACATGAAATCGATGTTCTCGCGGAGAAGAACACATATCAACTTTGACATTCCACATTAGACCAACGGGTCCCATCGAAATTGTGCAAAAATGAGCCGCTCACTCAATTTTTTCCAACAAGATATCCTTCTTTTTTTCATTTTTCCAAATTTTTTTTTATCACTATCTAATAATATTATCTCAATTTTGTGATTTTTTTACTTTATATTCTTAAGGGTAGATCTTGCAGTCTCTTATTGTTCATCACAAGATTCAATCGAATTTAATACTTTGTTAAATTTTAAATTTAGGGCTGGTCAAAACTCCTGAATCGAATCGAACTCGACGGTTCATCTCAAGTTAAATATCCAAACAGTATCTAAATCGAGAACCGACATGTAGGGTTCGATTCTCGATTCTAGACCAACAATCGAAGAACCATATCATCCTAATTTTTTTTTATTGAATAAATCAAATTATTTTAATTTTTTCTAAACGAATTAACAAATTAATTAATTAGGCGATTGATTGATACTCCATCTCACAAGACTTCTAATTCAAGAAATTTTTTTATGTAAGCTTGAAGGTTGAAGCAACTGAATTATTGATATGGATCGCCAATATTTTAGTATTAGTATCTACTTTTTGATATTTATATATGTTGGTGAATTAATTTTATTGGATAACTTATTATTTATATGTTTTTGAATTGGATTTCGTTTATTTGTAAAAGCTACGATTAAATATGTTATTAGTTATATTTACGTAGTATTGTTGTAAATCTTTAAAATGTAATTATGGTACAGAACCAAATTGGACCGAATTGAATCGAACGGAACCGAACTCGAACAGTTCTATAATTATATTTGGACCCAACGGTTCCACTTACTAAATACACGAAATTTTCGATTTGGTTCAGTTCTACCGGACCATGCCCAGCTCTATTTAAATTTGTAAATTCTAACACTTACTGAAAGAAAATGTTGGAAGTTAATCTCATTTATAGTTATAGACAAACACTTACTGAAAGAAATGTTGAAGTTAATCTAATTTCTAGTTATAGAAAATCAGGTCACGGCAGTAAATGAATTTAGCTGCAGTGCCAGATAATATTACGTCCTTGTTTAGTGTAAGTTAATATTAGATTTTAGTAGATTTAGATAAAAATTGATAAAATATGTGATTCAAAAATTGAGAATTCTATTAAATATATATAATTAAAATTAAGAATAATACTATCGAATATCACTCGTGGCTAGTGCTAAAACATCAATATATATGTTTGTGTATGTGACATTAACGATACATTCAAGTAAATATAATGTTATGAGACTGTTGTGGGATCTATCACGTGCTGTCGTATGGTGTCATTTTAGCATTAATGATGCTACATAACATTTTTTTAAATTAATATTTGACTTTAATTAGAAATTTTAATCTGATCTACACCAATCAATGCTAAGTGTTTGTTTGGTAGGAATTTTGAGAATTAATTTTTTGACCATTATAAATAAAGTAGGCTCTACCTCTAAGAAAAGAATTCAAAAATAATAATTAAAATAATAAGATAACGATCAAAAAATTAATTTTAATTGATTTAAAATCGCCACAAGCACTAAATTTGAGTTAAAATATGCAAAACCTTTTGCAACATGAACGTCTCATAATTTCGCCTAAGAAGACGCTTTTCCGTGCCTCTAGAACCCTAATATTTCAGAGTTAGGGTTTTAAAGGCTCCCGAACTGCACCGTTTAACTCTCCTCTCTGGTTTTAGAGTACTGCGCTGCTATTCCACCCACCAATGGCCTTCTGGGGTAAGCTAACTTACACAGACATAATCATAACCAAACAAACCAATATTTCTACACAACCATAAAATTAATTTTTTATTTCTATTTTATGATTGACTTTGTAACCAGGAATCGAAGTAAAACCAGGCAAACCGTATATCCACCGGTACGAAAATGAGAGGGGAAGACTTCATATATCTCAGGTTTGTTATCAAATCTTAAACCTTACTTTCTAATACTTTTATGTAATTTTTCTTATGTTTTGATGGCATCTTTTTAATTTTCTTAAAAGCTTTGTTTAATTTATATAAATTTGAGACCTTCGAGTTGCCCATTTGTCACTACACACGCACAGAGTTTGATTATGGATTTATGTTAATGGTTAACTCCTGAAATATCATGTTTTTTGCAATATTATAAAGTTCTAAGGCTGTTATTTTCTGGCTTTGCCTATGACTTTTGTTTTTCCCTTGATCATGAAATATTGGTTTCTTGTGTGGTTTATATTTAGGCAACACTGGGTAGCGGTTCTTCAACTAAGAAGAGCAAAGTGCAGTGTAATGTGGGATATAAAAGTCCCATTTACTTGTGCTCGTTGTTACCAGAAAGACTCGAGACTTGCGCATTGAATCTTGAGTTTGAGGAGGAGGATGAAGTTACCTTCTCAGTTATTGGTCCTCACAGCGTTCATCTATCCGGGTTCTTCTACGGTGAAAATGATCAGGATAAGGTTCGAGATGATTCTGGGTCGTATCCTTCTTTTGCTGTTGCTTAACTTATACTTCTTATTCTTGTTAGTGTATAATGTATGCTTCTTCACATATTAACATTTTTTTAAATGGATCAAGAATTAAAGTGTGTATTTAGGATTTTTTTTTAGCTGTTTTTGCTTTATTTCTTTAACTATGATTTAAGTGATTCTTATGAAGAGAATATCGTGGGTTCTGATTCAGAAGAGGAGGATGATTTAATGAATTATGATTCTGAAGATGAAGATGAGGAGGCTGACTTTATTGATGATGATGATCTTGGCATATACCCACCTTCTCCTGTCCCCAACAGTGGAGGTAGTTTTCTGAAGTGATATGTTGTCTTGTGTTCCAATTGCATTTTGCCTTAAGCCAAATCATTTTAGTGAGTTCAAGGTTTTTGCTTCTTGACCAATTAAGAAAATCTACATAGTGTATTTTTAATTTTTATCAATAGGTGAGGAAGAAAACTTACGATGAGATTGTGGAGTGTGACTGTTCTGTAGTCTCTCTGTGCCTTTCCTGGCCCTTTTTAATTTCTTCCCTTCAAATACTTTTAGATGCTTTTGGTAATTGCATAAGCATGAAGATAATCGACAATGTTGGCATGAGCTGGTTTTTTATTTCTGAAGACTAGAAGGAGGAAACGGATATTTGGAAGATTATCTGCCATATATATTCTGTTACATCAGTTTATTCTAACTCGTACAACTTAAGTGTGAAAATGACCTTTTTACGTGTGACCTGGCGGTAGATTTTTGACCAAACATATATCATGAAGTGAACAACTGGAAATCTAATGTTACATTATCCATGTCATGATAAATTTGCAT